TGAAAGTCTACAGTTCCCTATTTCCATGTTTTTTATCCTGTTATATACAGCCTGAAGTGAGATGTATGTGGCAAAAGAAACAAAGGGTAAATATGAAAGGTAATCAGAAATATATTAGCTTACTCCAAGGGTTCTTAATAGTTCTGACCTAAATTGCATATTGAAGGGAAAAATATTTTGGTCTGCTTTAGGTGAATGCTATTATAAATAATAAACATGCAAGAAAAATATTACAATATCTCCTCCCTACAACCACACAGTCACAAGCTCTATCAGGTCAGTGACCTGTAACTTTAATTACGAGTGTATTGGTTTGGGTGTCAAATGTTCATTTGCTCAGTTACCAAAACAACAGAGCTCAGTAATGCCCCTTAAGAGTCAACACCAAAACAAAACCATCCACCACCCTCTGATGTTAGCAGCCATCAACACAAGGGGTTTAGCTGTCCTTTGCCTGCTTTCCTACACTCAGAATAATAAGAAGGCAATATTCTTTGGGTTTTAAGGTTTGCACTAAATGGTGGCAGGTTCCCTGGGGAGGAAAGGCCGCTGTGCAGCCCCCAGCCCAGGTGTTCTGGGTGTTAAAGGATGCCCAGCCCAGCCAGGAGCTCTGCTGTTGCTGAGGGGTTGGGAGAAGCCCCACGGTTCCCAGGCCCTCTCCAGGATGAGCCTATGTCTTGGAAGGTGAGTGCCTTATGCATTAGAGCTTTGATTTTGATTTTATTTTTAGAATTTTTTTAATTCTTTTTTTCTTATGTTTATTTTTTTCTTACGGTGATGATTCCTCATATTGCTCTGGAGAACCATCTTAGAGCTCTGGGGAGGTCTGGACATCTGAGAACTGTGATATCCTATGCTGCAGAAGTTTTATGTGATGGTTAGACTAGTCCTTATAATTTCCCTTTTTCGGATTTCCTGGATACCTGTGCCTTTAGGATCACGATCAGCAATAACCAGAGCTCTCAAACTGTGCCTGGTTTCCATTTGCAGCACTGGGTGGGCTGAGTAATTCCTCAGAGAAACTCAGGCTCTCTCACCTTGTGCTGGAGCTGTTTGCTCCCCCCTTGGCTGCAGTGCTGGGCCTGGAGCAGGAGGGGGTGTTTGGATGGAGAAGTACTTGAAAAGAGGGCTTTTGTCTCATTACAATAACTGTGGTTGGAAGATGATCTGGGGGTATTTAAAGGCTAAGACTACATTTTGTCTTTAAACAAGAACTTAGACTTCTGAGCTGAATCCAGCATAAAGTGCTGCATCTGAAGCTTTGCACCCCCCCTGACTTCACTGGAAACTTTGCACCCCCCTGGCTGCATTGGAAGCTTTGCACCCCCCTGGCTGCATTGGAAGCTTTGCACCCCCTGGCTGCATTGGAAGCTTTGCACCCCCCTGACTGCAGGGCCCTGGTCGCAGTGACTGGGGTGGGCTTAGCCCTTTCTTAGCTGGGTAGGTGAGCTGTGTTCCCCAAACCACGGGCTCTGCCCTCCTCAGCTTGCAGAGGTAGAGGGTTTGTTGTGTTTTTAGCAGTTAACAGCTGCTGCACATGGACATGGTCTCCCCAGGTCAGTATGGGGAGCTACCTTGGCTCTGTTGGCTGGGTGGCATTTTCAAGCTGGGGCATGAATTGTAATAAAATCACCTGGGGATTCCATGTTGCATTACAATAAACAGAAATTAATGCAGGCACTACAGTGTCATTACAGCCTCTGGGCTGGGCAGGCAAGGTTGCTCTGCTTAATTCCCATCGCTGTGACAGGGTTGCCATTTCCTCTTCCTGCCATTAACTGTTGTATTAACCTCAATCCCTCAGTCATTAGTTAATATTACCAAGTCATATGTGACATTTTGCACCAAGCACGGCTGCAGGTCCTGCCTGTTGGAAGTTTTTAATTAAATAAAGCTGCCTGCTGTGCGCAGAGGGGCAGGGGGGAGAAGGCAGAATTCAAAGGAGAGATGAAAGCCACTGCCTCTGCCTGCCATGCCAGGGTGTGGGCAGGACTTCTGCTCTGCCTCGGACCTTTCCTTCAGAGAAGCCCTTGGGCTTTTCAAGTGGCCTCTCATCTGAAATTACAGCACATGGTTCGGGCTCCTGCTCTAACAGGCTTTCCAGAAGTGGCTGGAAAATACTGTGTGTAGCACCTGAATCAGCCCTGTATGAAAGGTGATTGGGCAATCGTCACCAGTGAAGGGGTAAACCAATGCTTCGTGCTGAGCTCCACATTCACCAGGCAGGAAAAATTGTTGTGTCATGATCAGACTTGAAACTGGAATGGAAATAGCCCTTTTCTGAGATCTCAGAGTTTCTGAATGTGGGGCTGGGGGTGAGGGAAAAGAGTTCTGATCTCTCCCAGCCTTCAGAAACCTTCCGGTCCTACTGATCCCTCATTCATAAGGGACTCGTAGTCTGTAGTGGTCTGGGACTGCCGGGCTCTGCTGCTGCTGCTACTGCTGCTGCCGGGCACCGCCTGGCCGCCCGGCTCTGTCGAGAGCGGTAATTAATGCTTGCTGCTTTCCCTGGGAGGCCCTTTGTCTGGTTTTATCTGTGCTTTTTTTGTCGTATTCTCTCCGGTTTATTCCTATGCCACTCAGCATCTGCATTATGTATAAAGCTTTCAGGGCTTTCAGTGGCTGCTGGTGGTCCTGCTCTCTCCACCTTTAATGGAAGAGCAACAAGTGTGCTTGATGCCCAGGAGCTGCAGCTAAAGAGGCAGGGAGATGTTCTACAGCAGGGAAAACCCTGCTGTCTCCACCTGTCCATCCCTTGTTTGGTTTCTTCCTCTGGCCCTGGTTCATGGCTGTTTGCTGGGGACCTGCTCAGTGCCACAACCAGCAGCACAGGGTGACAGGAGAGGCTGGCAAAGCCCTGGTGCCTTGGCTGCAGTAGTGTTTATTTGCACAGGACAGAGAGTATCCTGTCTCCCTTGGAAAGAAGCAGGGGATGATTTTTGGCACACAAATCAAAACGTGAGGTCTGTGCCTCTGCCCTCTCCCTTGGCTGTGGGGTGATATGGGCTGGCACCAACCTGAGCATATGCCTCGAGGGTTCCTCTGTTTCCTCACCTGGATCAAACAGTCTTTCCCACTTTTTTTCTCAAAGGAAGACTTCAGCTTCATAGAAACTTGGAAATAGCCCCAAGGAACACAACCCAGTACAGATGGCTGGCTTCTTCCTACTGCCTGAATGGCTGAAACTTTTTCTGTCTAGATCCATTTAGGAGGAAAAATGAGTACTTAAATGCTGTAGAGCTGGTTTTGAATTAGGAAGAACTGATTTTGACAAAAGCACAGAAATAGCCCCAAAATTCAAATCCAAGTAATGAATAAAACCCTGAGGTTAGCTGAATTGGTTAGAGCATGGTGCTAATAGTGCCAAGGTTGTGGGTTTGATCCCTGCATAGGCCATTCACTTAAGGACTTGATCTTTGTGAGTCCCTTCCAACTCAGAATATTCTGTGAATCTTCATGGCAAATGGAAAGGAAAATCCAAAGAACCATGTTTATAAACTTATTCAGTCAATAGTTTTAATTGACAAGCTTATGTAGTAATCCTAAACTGGATATGATCAGTATAGTCTGAAGCAGCCATTTAGTGGAGGAAAGTCTAAAGGAGAAAGAACATAGGAATAGTCTGAGGATTGTAGGAGTACAAAAGGGTACAATGGTTCTGGCCACCAGAGGTACAGGCCCATGAATTTTTTATTGCTGGATAGGGAAAACCTGAAAGGTGAGAGCTTGGTGAAAGAGGGGCTCAGCCCATGGGTGTCCTCACCCACTGCTAGGCTTCTCTGTGCCCCTTTTGTTTGAAAGCTTTTCAAGAGCTTCCAGCTATTATGCATGTACTCCAGCAGAGAGAACCAGGCTCCCACTCACTTTCCTTTGAGCAGCAGCTGAAAGGAAAACGCACGTTTCCCACCTGTCACCTCAAACACAGAAGTTTCACCCTAATTTACCTGAATAAAGATGTGTGGTTAGAAGAGGAGGCTAAATAATTCCTCTAGGTAGGCTTTTCTGGGCTGGGGGTCTGGGCTCTGCTGCACTGCAATGTGTAAACTCTGCTGAAAGAAATAATTTACTGATGTTTGTTTCTCTTCAAGCAGTAATTGGTCAGGTCTTTTGGATCACGCTGTTCCTTATTTGCAGGTCAGGCACACAACTCAGTGTGGGAAGTGTGTAAGGACTGCATGGGGTGCTGGGATTTCTGGCTCCTGTGTCAGAGATGTTCTAATCTGGGGATGTGGCCCTGGTGGAGCATTAAGTCCCCTAGAGCTGCGTGTGAGGGGTCTGGCTGCTGCATGTGGGAAAGGCCTTTGGAGCCTGTGGCTGCTTTGGAATTCGAGGGAACCCTCCAAGCCTGTCTGGGGCTGAGCTCTCTGGCTTTGGTGCCTTTATGTGTCTGAACTCGAACTGGGAGCATCTCCAGTGGGGAGTGGGAGATGAAGTGATTCAGTGCCGTCTTGTCCAGAAGACTTATTGCCCCTGCTGCAAGTCTAAATCTTGGCCTGTGTAGCTGAGGACAGGAGTATCACAAAGGAATATCCTCACAAAACAGGGTTAGAAATATTTGTCCAGCTGACCACTGTAGCCATGGAAGCTGCAGTACCCTAGGTGGAATTGCTGGCTGTTCCTTGTATAGGGGCTTTCTGGAGTAGGGGTAGGTGGTCAGGGGCAAGTTTTATTTATTAGCTAGACATTTGTTCTCTTCTGTCCTTACAAAGAGCTGCTAAAATCTGTTATAGATGTAGGGAGGCTGTGGAGGGGAGTGAACGTGCCATAGGAATAGTCTTTTTAGACAGAAAATGCCTAAAAGGGTGTTTTGTGCTGGAACCCGGGTGGTCTGACCTGCCCCCACCCCAAAAACCCCCTCTCGCTCTTCGGGCAGCAGCCCCGCCAGGGTCCCCCCTCGGACCCGCCCGCTGCCCGCCGAGCGGCTGCGGGAGGAGGAGGAGGAGGAGGAGGAGGAGGAGGAGGAGGAGAAGGCGGGGGAGCCCCGGTGGCGGGATGAGGCCGCGCTGAGGATGTGCGAGCAGGCAGCGCGGTACTGCCGGGCCGGCGTGCAGAAGCTGCTGAAGAAGCCGGCGCCGGCGCTGCGCGGGCTGGACGGGCTGCTGCGCTGGGCGGCCGGCAGGATGGGCGACAAGGGCCTCGCCGAGCGGGAGCTGCTGGCCCCGGGAGCCGCCGCCGCCCAGAGGAAGGGCACCTCCGTCATCCTCGATGTGAGTGGTCCCTGCTCCCCTCGCCCCGGCTCCTGCCTCCCTCCCTGGCCGCGTCCCGAGCGGGAGTGGGTCCGTTCCTCGCCTCCCGCACCCCCGGACCGGCCGTACCCCGGGTCCCGCAGCCCTCAGCTGGGTGGGCATGGGGGTCCCGCATCCACTTGCCCGGGTCCCGCACGCACCCAACCCCCTCGGGAGCGCCGTTGTCTCCGGGTCCCGCACCTCCCGGACCGGCAGGGCAGGAGGGGTGTCCCGGCCTCTGGGACTGCTCGCTCGGATGCTGCACAGGCTGCACGGACACGGGGGGCACCGCGGACCCCCCGAGCGGCTCGGCAGCGGGGTTATTCCGCCATCCGCGGCTGGCTGGGGATGGGATGCAGCCCCAGCACCTGCCTCTCCCGGGCTGCTTGGGCGTAGGGGTGCCCAGATCCAACAACGCCTTTGCAGATTCCGTGCCCTGGGCTGACGCGGGTTCCACCTCCTGGACCGGCTGGGCACTAAGGGTGCAGTCTGGGTCCCACGTCCCTTGCCCCGCACTCACTGCGAGAGTTGGGAATAAGGTGCACCTTGGTCCTTTATCTCCCAGATGGGCTGGGTATGGGGTGCAGACTGGATCCTGTACCTCCTTTCTTGAGTCCTCCTTGCTTTTTTTTGTTTGTTTGTTTGTTTGGGGTTTTTTGTTTGGTTTTTTGTTTGTTTGGTTGGTTGATTGGTTGGGTTTTTTTGACCGGTCGGGCACAGAGATGTAGTTTGTATCCTTCATCTCCCGGCCAGCATCCTGAACTCTTTGGACCGGCTGTGCTTTGGGGTGCCCCCTGTTTCCTGCACCCTCTGAACAGGCTGGATGTGGGTGCGCACCCCAGGTTCTGCAGTGTTTTTTCCAGGTCCTGCATCCCTTGAATCAACTGGGATAAGAATGTACTGTAGGTCCTTAATCCTGGTATTAGCCTGGCTGAATGGAGATGAAAGGGACTGCGGGGCCCTTTGCCAGGTTTGGGGGAGCTGGTAGGGATGTGCTGAGCGCCTCAACTGCTGCATTTATAGGACTTTCTGATTAGGGAGCTAACGAGGCTATTTGCGCTTTAATGAATTGGGAGAATGGGGTGGAACCAACCAGAGTGCAAACGGTGTAATTACAGTCTTTCTACAGCATCTAGTAATTAAACACACAGATCCTCAGCTTTGCCATCTCCTAGCTTAAAAAAAAAAAAAAAAAAAAAAAAGTGAATGCAGAAATAAACTACTGAAGCATTGGCTGTAGTAAAGGATAACTCGTGCTCTCCTCCAGCCTCCTCAAAGAAAGGATAGGCAGTAGAAGCTCTTCCAAACAAGTCCTTGCATTTTCTAAATAATCTGCTGAATCTTCTGCCACGTCCCCTGTAGGCACTGGGGTGGGCTGGGGAGTCCAAAGCTCATTCCCCCTCTGAGCACCCTGGGCTGAGGAGCGTTTTGGTTCCCTGAGGAACCCTCGTGTGTGCCTGGTGAGCTGCCCGAAGCGGCTGGGACAGCAGGGTGTTTATGGGATGGTGCTGCCCGGTGGAACGGGCTGGCAGGTGGGCATGCAGGCTGTGGGGAACGGGCTTCATGGACAAACAGAAAGGGCAAGTGTAGCTAATACTACTGTGTCGTTGGGAGTTTTTTTCTGGGTTTTGTTGTTGTCATTTTGTTTGGGGTTTTGTTTTTACTTGGTTTTTCCTGGTGTGTGTTTGTTTTTTCCTCTGCCCTGAAATTACTGAAATCTTACAATAGTCTGGGGCTCAGAGCATAAATACAATTATAAATGCAAATAATAATACAAAAATTAAATACAATTGGGGAGCACCATTAAGTTTATAAAAAAGGTGCTTGAATTAGGACTGTTTTGCCACCAAAATGGTATCTTTTTCATTCAATTTTAATATCTTGAAGTGAATTTTTTTTCCACTTTGAGGTTTGAACTCGGGAAGCCAGCCATGAACTTTCAGAATGGGAAGCACAGTAGAGTATTGTATTATTTCAGTGGGAAATGCAATAGAACTGGCTGTGCAGCTCCTGATCATTTCTCCCTTTCACAATGGTACTGGGAGCCCTTTCTCACCTGCTGAAAGTAGAAATGGATACTGGAAATGTAAGACTTGTGGCCTTAGGGGTTTTTTTTCCTCCTTCCCTAGAAGTTGATTATCTCCCTTTTCTCCTGTCACAATAGCAATGCCAGTTGAAGCTGTGGCTTCACTGTGACAGGCTCTTCAAGTGAAGTGTGAGACCCTCCTTTCATAAAAAGGGTTGAAACGTGGGAACATGTATTTAGGTTAATTTTCACACATTAGCAGGAAAGTAACAAGCATCCCACTGAATGCTCAGGGGGGAGAACCTGTTTTCCCATTAACTCCTTCAGGTTCTGTCATTACTGCACACAGCAGTGCAGCTCCTTGGTGAGGGAGGATGAAGTGAAAGACCTGAAGATTTGATGTTTAACTATCAGGCTTGCAGGAGCTGCTGTGCTATGTAGGCAGTTCCTTGGGGGCTGGGGGAGGGATTAAGCTTGGCTTTGGCTCTGAATTAGATAAGATGGCTCTGACACTAATAGCACCTTAGTCACGTTTTCTTCCTTTTCTGGCTTTCTTTTGATTCAGCCGTTCCCAGTGTTCTTGTTCTGACTTCTCCACGAGGGTGGCTGGTGGGTCAGACCAAAGTTCCCTGTGCTCTTTCCACCAGAGAAACAAAACTGTGCTGTTGCGGGGCAGAACTGAAGAAACAGGGTTAGATGTCTTCTGCCATCAAGCTGCCTCTTGGAGGATGAATCCTAACTTTGGGCTGGTTTCAGTGGTTTTCTTTTATTTTGCCTGTGGCCTTTTGAGTAAAGGATTAAAAAAGGTTGAATAATGTTCACTAGTTCAGCTCAAAGCTATAGGTTTCCAAGTGTAAAAAATAGCTAAAGTTGCAGATTAACTGAACCCTGGTAACAATCTAATGAAGAAAAGTCCTAAGCTAAAACCAGGGAATGAGAGCTGCTCTTCAGTGGTGGTAGTAGAAATGGAGGTGATGGAAAATATCATTTTGTATTTAATGGTCAGCTTTCACAATGCTGGTAAAATCAGCAGAAGGGGTTGGGTTTGAGCAAGGAGTCTGTGCCCATCCTGGTACTCCCGCCGGTGCCTCCCTCTGGGTCTGGAGTACACACAGCTGCTCAGACTGCAAGAGCACAGGGCTGGCAGCACGAGCCACCTGCTGCAGGTATTACCACTCACACCACAGGCTGTGGACAGGCACCGCATTTCTAGTGCTTTCTGCACCCACAACAACAAACCCCCTTTACTGGAAACAGTCATGCTCAGCTGCTGCTCAAGTCCACGTGTGGTGATGGTGGCATTTCCAATCAAGAACAAATCCTCAAATGTCACAAGGCTTATGGAAAGGAGGATACATGGTGTGGGTGTGTGTTAGGTGTGTGTGAGCCAGTGTGAGAGCCTGTTTGCCAAGGGTGAATAGGGAATGTGCAATATGGAGCTGAGGTGGATGCTCCCCAAGTGCAGGAAATGTCCAGGCAGGTATTGCCCTGTCTGGGAGTGCTTCAGCACAGCCTGACCGATTGTCCTTGCTCATCTCCTCCTGCCTTTGTGTCAAAAGCCAGCAGGAGAGGGAACTGCAGCATGTGGGGGGCCTGGTCAGTCCCAGTAGCTGCAGGTGAAGATGCTCTGTAAGGATCAGCCCTGGGTATGGGGGAGCACTCCCAAGGCAGGACTGTGTGTCCAAGTGCAGCCCTTACTGGCAAAGTTATTGCAGCCCCAGGAATCCCCAGAATCCCTTCTCAATCCTCTTCTGCTTTGACCTTTTTTCCTCTGGTTTTGGTTTATTTGTTGGGATCTTTTTTTAAGGTTGGTTCACTCACCTTCTCACTTGTTGGAGTGAACTGGGAGGGCAGTTTCCCTCCTCCTTAGTCCTCCCTTTGGGAAATCCTTTGCACACCGTTCCCTCGGGCACAGCTGGAGAGGAGGGGCAGGGCACAGCTGGAGAGCAGGGGCAGGGCACAGCTGGAGAGCAGGGGCAGGGCACAGCTGGAGAGGAGGGGCAGGGCACAGCCAGGCTCTGCCTTCAGGGACTGCTCTGCAAGGTGCACAATCACACAGCAGAGGCCAAGCTTCCCCTTCTGATCTGCAGGGCTTTGGAAGTGGGGGCCTGAAAAGAAGCTGCACCCAGGGCTAATCTTTATGGAGAAGTAACTTCTAGTGCTGAACATCAGCAAGTCAGAACATCAGTGCAACTCTTACCTGTTTCCTGCAACTTTTATTTAGGACAGCTAGGTAAAGTCTAAAGAGAAGGTAACAGTGAAAACAGAGGCCAGGACATGGTGTCAGCTGCTCTTCTCTTGGGGGGGAAGGGAGAAAGAAAAAGATCTGCTTTGAACTGGGAAAAATGGCCAGAGAGCTGGAGCTGTGCAGCAGCTTTGTTTTGTGGGGACCTGCTCCAGGTGGGTCAGTATTTCCATAGCAATGGCATATTCCTTGCTGAAACACCAAAATCAAACCTTTCTCCTCGCATGGGGAAATGCTCATTAGCCTGAGGATGTCTAAAGGTGTAGCCCAAAGTGTCAAACCTTCAGGTCATTATTTTCTCACATCATTACCAGAAAGAGCAACACAGAGAGGCTGTAGGAGAGGAAATTCCAACTGGTACCTTGAGTTAGAGAACTAAAGGCCATACCTGACAGAAAGCTTTGTCTCACCTCCAAAGGAGGCATCGAGACTTGTAGGGAGAGGAATAGGAATGGAGGAACATAGTGAGTAGATTAATATTTTTTTAGGTGTATGTTGTCTCTGGATGCTTTCTCAGCCATAGGCTTGCCTCATGCATGAGACTTGATTTTGTTTGTCCTTGATTCTGCACCAAAATTGTGATGGAAAACAAAATTTCAGCTCAGCTGCATTCTATTTTAAATCAACATCATATTAACCCGCTCAAGGGATAATAAACTCTACAAACCCTGTAATAATTCTTGGGCTTCTTAGGGGAGTGCTTGTGTGAATTTAATAAAATTGGTGAGAAAACCTCCATTAAGCAGCCTCCAGTGTTGCATGTTCTCATCCAGGAGCTCTGAGAAGGCAGAACTCAATGTTTAAATTTGAAACCATCAATTTTTTTCCAAGTTTATTATTACCACTAGGGTTTTGAATTGCTTACTTCTGCCAGTCAAATATCTGTAGTAGCCATTGGAGAGTACAGCTAAAACACATATTTAAAGAAAACCTATTGGAAATCTTGACAGAAGTTCCTTACTCTAGAGAAAATAGTGTTTTTATTCATCTAAACATCTGGTAAATAGGCTAAGTATGCTGCAGACAGAAAAGTGCACACATTGCCTGGGTAAATCCCATAAAATGGGTCGATGCCCATACTGTGGGCATCCTGTGGGCTCACCATGGGACTCAGCCTGTGCTTCAGGAGACTCGCTTAACAGCCTCAGAGCACAGCTGGGGGGGCGATGGCTGCTGCAGCACTTCTTGAGCTGGATGGTTTCTCATTTGCCATCTGAAGTCACGCGTTGCCCTGGCTGGGGAGCGGGGGCGGTGGAGCAGAAGGAGCATCCCCGGCCAGGCTGGTGCCGCAGCTCCGGCTCGGTGGATCCGCTCCCTGCGGGGGCGCGGGAGGCCAATCCGTGCCGAGGGTTTCTCCATCAATATTTCATTCCCCTCTCTCACTGACCCCCGGGGCCGTGCCTGGGCTGGGTGTGAGTGACTGTGCTGCTGAGTGAGGGTGGCAGCGATGGAGCTGCTGAGGGAGCCCCCGAGGCTGGGCCGGCTCTGCAGGTGATGGGGCGTCCTCGCCCGGGTCCCCTTCTGGAGCTGCTGGGAGCTTTGGTTTCCCTGAGCTCCCTGGGAGCCTGGCACCGAGCTGCCCCTGGGGTTTGCCCTCTGGTCCGTGGGACAAGATGTGAGGGCTGTGGTTTCCCTTCCATCAGCAGCTCTTCCACCTTTCCCCTGCAGGAATCACCTCCTTCCCGCAGGGAACAACTGATTCGAGCCCAGGACTGAGGGTGTCTCAGGCCGTGTGTGGGAGAGCACTCTTGTTTGATGAGCTAGAACATAAATCCCAGGGCTTCACAGCAGCAGCAGCGTTTTTGGCAGCACTACCAGGCTATCACAGAGTATATTACATCTTTATCAGCCTCCCAGTGCTCGTTCCAGTGTTCATACCTTGATGCAGTGCCTGCCTGTGCTGACAGATGACTTTGTCTTAAATTGCTTTCCCTCCAGGTGTTCCACTTAAAATTTTTATGTGTGCAAATTTTACATGGTCCAATTAAGCTGGAAGAATAAATCCTGCCCATTAGCAATAAAAAAAAGCAAACAGCTTGGTCCTGTAGAATAAACTTTGATAAATAATACAGCCAATGTGATCTTTTATCAACATGTTCATTTACAATAGGCATACCTTTAAGGAGTATCTGTGTGAGTTAGAGCTCTAAAATGTTCACTTAGTGAAGCTGGACATAAATAGTTCAATTTCTAAACATTTTTTTCATTTCTTAATTAATTTGTTTTTCCTGATGCTCCAAGCATCCCTTGCAAGGTGAACAGCTCTGTGGAGCAGAGCACTGCAGGTTGAGCCTTTCTCCCAGTGTAAGTTATATTTTGCCTGTTGGTTGTGCCTTCCTATTCTCCCTCTCTCAGCTGGGCTCAGTGGGGTGGGGATCTCCCACGGGACCTTAAAATAGGCATTGCTGCTGCTGTGTGAGACTGGCTGCAGTGCCCTCCCTTCAGAGCAGTGGGAAGAGTAACTGAAGGGTATGTTGATGAAACAAATAGCCCAGAAATAATCACCTAAAAAGGAAAGTACCTCATCTGGAGGTGCTCAGGGGAGTGAGGAGCTGGGGAGCCCAAACCATGAAAAGAAGAGTATTTTGTGTGGTGGGCAGGGCGTGCTGCACACAGCTGAGGAATGTGTGCTAAAGCCATCCTGGGGTCCTGCTGGGATATATTCCATCTTCCATAGACAAGCCATGACTGGCTGGCCCCTCAGAACCTCAGTGAAGTCTGTGGGTAAGGAGACACGTAGGACTTCCCCCAAAAAACCTTCTAATGGCTCTAAAAATATGGTCAGCCCAAAAATTAAGGAGTTTGGAAGTGCTCACAAGCTGTAATCCTTGAAGGGTTTTTCTGCCCCTCTCTTGAAGCTGGGACTCAGGGACTCCCAGCACTCGGGTTTGGTTCATGCAGATGGATTCAAGCAGATAGATTCAAGCAGATGGATTCTGTCTCTGCTGAAGGACTCCAGGGAGTCCAGCTTTGGCTTTGCTGTGGGCTGCATAGCCTGGGAAGAACTTGGGACAAAAGAATGATTAATATGTTCCTTAATTAAGCCATATTCAGTGAAATAGCATATTCTGCAATTCAATTTGTCTCTTGGGTTTCTTGTTTTGTGCAGCAGTTTCTCTTTTGATTTTTTTTTAAATGGTTTTGTGACCCAGAAAATAAGAGATTCTATTTTATGGCTGACTCTGATCTGTCTTGCTGGTGCTTTTATTCCCTCTGCAGGAAATTTCTTTGCAAAACCAAAATCTCTGCTCTTGCTCAAATTAATAAGGTCAGGCCTGAAGAAATGATGAGAATATTTTACCTCTTCTGCCCAGTTAGTGAACATGCTAATTTTTTTGGTAATTTATGGCCAAACCTGTGCTAGCAGCCATTTTTGGCAGGAACCTGTAAGTTTTCAACCTTTGCACAAGCCTTTTTGGTATTAACTGCACTGTGTCAGGGGGCTATTCCTGAGATGAGACTGGTCAGAAAAACAGCAGTTGTTTCTGCTGTTCTCTTTCTCCCAGGCAAGTTCTTCAGTACGACACATTATTGCAATTTTTTTTTCTTCTGAAATGGCTATCTGATTCCTCTCTGTGGGCTGTTCCTCCACACTGTAGTTTTAAGTCTAAATATAATCTCCTTCCCACGCAGGAGACTTGCTTTAAAAAAAAAGTTGTAAATAATTTTTTTTCAGAAGTGCAGAACTGTGAAACTTGCTTTAAGAGACATTATTGATGCTAGGAAAATTGGCTGGACTGGTTGCAAGGCTGTTGTAATATTTTCTTAATGTGTATTTTTCTGGTGTTGGCTCCACAGTTTCAGCTTTCCTTTGTGAGGGAGGTGCTGGAGCTGCTGGAAGCATTTCCAGCCCTTATTCCAAAGGCAACTGTGTTGATACTCTGCCCTGGCAGTGGCTGGCCATCATATTGGTCTGGGGGAGAAGAGCTGAGTCTGGGAAGGGGGAGCTCAGTAAAGCACAAGAATTGTCTCTCTGGGGGCTGGAGCTGCCCCGTGTGGGGCTGAACGTGGCCCTGGCCAGAAGGACTTCACCCTCTCGTGTTGAACAACACAGTAAAAATGTTTCTCTCTCTCTTTCAATTCTAGATTTTCAGAAGAGCTGACAAAAATGGTAAGTCTGTACATTCATATTTCACATTTGTTCATTGGACTATTGGCAGCATTTCCATTTCTCCTGATAGCAACATCCGACTGTTTAAATGTCCTTCAGTTGACTGGATCTGACGGTGATACAGTCAAAGCATCAGAAAAGGTAGGGGTATTTCTTTGGAAAAGATATTCTTAGAGCAGAAGTGATACCAGTGTACCCCACCAGATTTGGGGCAATTTCACAAAAAAACCCCATAAAAATAAATCACAGGTAAGTGATAAGTGAGGATTCACCACCTGGTAATCTTGGAACAGCTTTGCAAAACAGACTGAATCTGTGAATATTGGTAATCTGGTTCCTGAATGACTGGACCCATCAAGGAGCAACATGTACTGATGTGTGTTTTCAGCCTGTACCTGTGGAAAGCTGAGCTGTGATGAGCCCATCCATGTCCTTACACAGGGAATAACATGCACATGTCTTCACTGGGAAGGAGAGAGCTGCTCTGCTGCAAGATAACACCCTTAAGGGAAGAAGAGTCAATGAGTCCAATCCCAGGATCTTTCTCCACCCTGAAAAGCAGTTTAATTTTAGCTACGAGAGCAAATCCCAAGAGCTAGTATCTATTCTTTCCCTGTTGCACAAGAAAATTAAATATGCATCCAAACTGTGTGTGTTTGCAGAGGGACCTGTGGGAGGGTTGTGCAGAGGAGCACAGGGGACAGTCTGTTTATTCCCTTCCAGATGAAAAAGCGAGATCCCTGATTTGTGCAGGAGCTCCCAGGTGCATGTGCTGGCTGCCCCTGGTGAGGCAATGCAGGTGCTGTCAGCTGGCTGCTGGATGGCAGTGAATGCCCTGCTGATGTGGCCTTCTGGTTATGATGACTGACACAGCAATAAGACACTGAAATTTGTTGCTTGGAAAAGCTGAGCAGTTGTGCCTTGCAAGGGGAATGGGGGGAGAGCACTCCAAGTGCTGCTTATGGGAAAAAATGAGTTTGTGCTTTCAGCCCCCAGCTGGACACACTTCACAGCCCCCTGAGCACTTCACTGCTGTGTCACTGGAGACCCAGGGTCTGGTGAAATATTCGAGGCTGCCTGTGAGAATGCTGCCTGTGAGAGAGGCTGCCTGTGAGGGAGGCTGCCTGTGAGAGAGGCTGCCTGTGAGAAGGCTGCCTGTGAGAGAGGCTGCCTGTGAGAATGCTGCCTGTGAGAGAGGCTGCCTGTGAGAGAGGCTGCCTGTGACAGAGGCTGCCTGTGAGAGAGGCTGCCTGTGAGAGATGCTGCCTGTGAGAAGGCTGCCTGTGAGAGAGGCTGCCTGTGAGAGAGGCTGCCTGTGAGAGATGCTGCCTGTGAGAGAGGCTGCTTGTGAGAAGGCTGCCTGTGAGAGAGGCTGCCTGTGACAGAGGCTGCCTGTGAGAGAGGCTGCCTGCTTGCTCTTTGCTGCCCCACGAGCTGAGTGCTGGGGCTGCCAGCCTGGCGTGACATCTTACCTGTCACTGCACATCAGGACAAGTCTGGGGAGGTCTGGGGACTGCAGCAGTCAATGCCTTTGCTGCATGGAGATCCTGAGTTCAGTCTGTGCTCAGTTAGTCCCATTTCTGTCTGAAGTTGAAAATCCCACTCCAGACTTCAACCTGGGAAACTGTTCCTTTCCAAATCCATGTTCAGCCTCCCTCCTTGGGCAGCTGCCTCCCAGTCCCCAGGACAGTTTCTGTGTAGGGCAGCTGAAATCAAAACCAGTGATTTTTCTTTTCAGTAACAAATGTTCCTGTGCTGAACAAAGCTGGAGAGGATGCACTGCAACGTCCCGGGCTTGGCACACTTATTTCCAGCCACTGCTTTTCGAGCTCTGTCAAATAATGCTGCTCTTTTGTCTTAGTTTTAATTAAAATTATAACAGCTGTGATGAGGCTGAAAAATCAGAACTCAAAGTACAAAATCTTGTCTTTGCTGTTGTGTGAATATTAAGGCTTTTCTCCTTCGTGATGGAAGGAGCTGCTGCCTGCCAGACAGACACATCTTTCCAACCCAGCCAAGAGGGCAGAGCTGTCGTTTTTGTGTTTACCACATCACAAGGTTGTGGGGTTAAATTTTAGTGTGGCTTTCAGTGCAGGGACAGCTCTCTTGTTGTATTTGGTACGTGCCAGTGACAAGCCATGAATCTGTGTCTTGTGATGTGGGTGATAACTTGGGAAATGATGAACCTTTGGACCCAGTTGTTCTGCTCTGGTGATGGGTGTCTGAGATGAAAAATTTACCTTTGGAAAGCTGATAACTTTTTCTGACCAGTTCCCTTACTGTTGGTGACACTCACCCCAAACTGGTTTTGCAGCCTTATCCCCTGTTCCTGCTGATGGCCAAGCAGTCCTCCAGCATTTTAACATGAACAACAGGCAAAGGCCAAACAGGATGCTTTTGTCAGCAGGAGTAAACCTGTTATTTTTACCTCTGCCCCTCACCCAGGAAAAACCTGCCCATCTCCTCCATGGTCTTTTCCCTGGATGTTCTTCCCTCTGTATGTCCTGCAGTGGTTTTCCCTACATTTATCCAGATGCTTCTTTTTTCTTGAGAGAGCACCTGCCAGCCACAGTGACCACCTTCACCAGCCATTTATGTTTGCTGGACTGTGGATAACAGACTTTGCCACTCTTTTTAACGAGCTCAGTGTGTTCTCTACAGCCCTTTTGGGGTCCCAGCCCCCCAGCCCCTGCAGCTCGTACCCCACAGCAGCTGCTGCAGGAGACCTGCAGGAATATTTGCCTTGGTAGAGCCTCCTGCAAACTAGGGCTCAGAGTTTCCAGAGCCAGAGGTAATATCTTTGTATTTAATATCCCTAGGGATCTCTTTTTCACCATTTTCTCTTTGACATCCTGGCCTTTAATGTATTGATTTGCTGAAGTTCAGAGTGTTCGTGGCTGTGCCTGGTGCAGCTCCAAGGAACAGTGGAAGCGTCAGGCTGCTGCTTTCATGTCTCACAGCAGGTGCAGTGACAGCCCTCTGTGGAGAAACGAAAATCTTCTCCTTTCCATTTTTGTCAGAATCCCAGGAAGGGGCCCTGAGCCCTGGACAGGCTGCTAAAAACGCAAGTCCACAGGTTCCCAAAATATTTTCCTCTGTTACCATCCTTCTGTGGTCTCCACACCTGCAGAGCTTCCTGTCTGGCAGGGACTTGGCTCTTTTTAATTAACCAGCTGAGCTGGGTCATTATGCAGTGCTGTGTGATGGTGACATACTGGGGAGAGAGCTCCCAGGGCAGGGAGTGCTGGCAGCTTTACCCAGAACTGGCAACTCTCGCTTTCCTCAGCTGTGCTAAAGCTCTTACAGACCCGTGTGGGAAATGGGCTGGGGGAAAATCTCAGAAAACTTCAGCTCTTGCCATCTTGTTTAACTAGAATATTTCCCTTTTGCCATGCAGAGATCAGGTGATTGAAGGGTCTCCTAACAGACAAAGGGGGGAATTGTAAGCTTAAGGAATAGTCTCATTTGATGCGCAGATTCCTACAGACAAGAGGTTATAAATTTGGAAATCTTTTTAGCATCTTGATATCCTTTCCCCCCCAGCCTGGTAAAAATGGCATATATTGTTTTAAAGCAATGTGGCTGGTTCAGATATGGTAACTATGGAGCCTGATCTTTGAAATCAAGAGCTTCTCCCTCCTCCCCCTGCCTTCCAAAGCTCCTCCACATAAATTGTTAATTCATGTAAAATTGGATGTTCTCGATGCAAGATGCTAAACCACGTTATTGCTCCTGCCATGTTCAGGTACTTGTATTTAGCTGATCTGATTCAGTGCCTGCGTGTGCTGAGAGGATGCTAATGAAGAAGCTCTTGCTTGTTAAAGACATCTTGTTCTCCTGCCCCCGAAAAGTGAGATTCTGACTCTCGTGTGAGTTCAGTTCCCAACTTTTTGCCCAGTGATAATATGAAGGAGTTGGATTTACAGCTGTCTACACAACTGGGAAAATGATCTGCATAGGACACCTGGAAATGATGAGCACATCGGAGATATCCAATAAACTGGCAAATGGTCTGAAGAAGGGAGAAGTTCTGGGGTGTAACCTTCTGACAGTGAATAACTCAGCTAGCTCTAGTCATGCTTTACAGGGGCATGGTTGTTAGTCATTCAAAATAATCTTTTTCTTCTGTGTAGGAGTGTTTTTCCTTTCTCTGCTAATAAATCCACCTACTGTCTTGTAATCCTCCCAGTCCCAGTAAACAATACTTAATCGTTTAATTGGCATGTGGTGGGAAAACGGAGGCATCTTGTTTCAGGCTGGTGCAGCAGAGCTGTCAATCATCTCAGTTATCTACTGTGTACTTCATCCTCTCATTAGAAAGCTGCTAATCAATTAAATAGCTGGGATTCTCTTTGAAAGATTAAGATGGCTTTATTTTGACAGGACAGCCTGACTGCTAAGGATTCATTCCAGAAATGTCGATTCCCAGGAATCGATGTTTTATCTGGAAATCTCCAGCTCCCTGCGAGCACCCAACTCCCACGCCTCGAGTGAACTAAATGTGAAGTGCATCTAAATTTAATCTGGGGTTTGGTTCACTCGGTTTTGCCATAGTTGTTAGATCTTGTTCCTGGAAGTGGCCATCAGTCTGGCCCATCCCTGGGGGTCAGGTGGTTTTGTGTGGACCTCTGCCGTGGAAGAGGAGAGATGCAAAAGCAAGTATGCCAAAAACTTGGCATATGGTGATAAAATGCCTGCAGAAGATGGCAGGAGGAGCTGGTGGTGCAGTATTTCACTTCTTAGTGACCAGTGATGAGTTATTGTGATTTGGTCAACTCGGCACCTTCCTATTGCTGCAGTCCTTGTGATTTCTGTCCCAAGGACTGTTGTGGTTCTGCCTTGAGTCTATCCCCTCTAGAGAAGGTGTGAATGGGAACCAAGCCACTGAGCACATACTTTCTTGAATAGCTCCTGCTGTTATAAGAAATGAAATACAATACCTTGTGAACATGGATTTAACCAAGTTCATTTTTAAGTTTAGCATAGAGATCTGGAGTACA